TTAAAATAATATTCCACAACAACTTTCCTTCTCAATTAACACATTTGAGAGAATTCCTCGGTGTCATGCCCATCTCCCAGGTGATTCTAGAATCTGTCTTGTTGGCAGTTAAGACTGATCATCACAATACTACTCCTGAATTATTCTGAATAATACCAATGTGATGTATGCTCTGGGGAGCAGAAGAACGGGGCATCTCTCAGCTTATGCTAGAGGCTAGTGTGGGTCTGTGATAAAAACAATAATAGATCTATGCAACACAGATGCAAGCATTCTTTAAAAAGCATCGGTAATCTGAAAACACTAATTAGAATATGTGTTTGTGTGTGTGTATACATGTGCATGCATGAATGTGTATGTGTGTGTGAGTGTGTGTGTGTGTGTGTGTGTGTGTGTGTGTGTGTGTGTGCATGTATGTGTATGTGAACCAGAGACAGTTGTGTGGTGCCTTCCTCTATCACTCTTTATCTTATTAATTTATTTGATTCAGGGTCTATCACAGAGCGTGAAGCTTGCTGTTTGGCTAGACTAGCTGGTCAGTAAGCCCCAAGAGCTCTCCTTTCCACCTCTCCCAGATAGCACTGGTGTTTTATGTGGGAGCTGGGCACCCAAACCCAGGTCCACATGCTTGCACAGTGAGTACCTCCAGCTCCCATTAAACACCGTTTTTAATCACAATTGTATCCTAGTTATCTTTCAAATGAAAGATCAAAAGTCTTACAAAAAACTAGAGGCCGATCCAACATCATTTCTCTCAAATCAGAACAGTTAAGCTATAGCTTAAGAATCAGAACTGTTAGGGACATATGAGCATCCTCCAGTTTTTTCCTTATGGGCCTGGAGCCGAGTCAGGAACATAGATATCAGCCACAGGCAATGAGGACTTCAGAGAGAGGACAAGGACAGGATTATCTTGGTGACTTCTCATGCCTGGGATGCTGAGGTGCCATTGAAAGGTGGTTACCAACCAGGATGCCCACTATGAAGACTTCTTCAGTAAGGGTTGGAGTCACATGTGTCATGCTTAGGTAACAATTCTGAGAACACATCAATGTAAGGTCTCACATTGCTTCCAAGTTTTCTCACAGATGTCCAAATCCAATGGTGATCTAGTCCCTTGTGTACAATGGTGGAGAGTTCACATTACAATCTGCCTCAGTCTCCTTGTATTATAGTCTCCAGAAACTTACAATAGCTAATACAATTTAAATAACTGCATTTTTTTTTTTTGGGTTTTCGAGACAGGGTTTCTCTGCGTAGTTTTGCGCCTTTCCTGGAGCTCACTTGGTAGCCCAGGCTGGCCTCGAACTCACAGCGATCCGCCTGGCTCTGCCTCCCGAGTGCTGGGATTAAAGGCGTGCGCCACCACCGCCCGGCTTAATAACTGCATTTTTATCATATAGTGCCAAGAAAGAAGCCTACACATATTCAGTAAAAATGTTTTTAAACTATTTCTGATTCACTTTGAATCAGTAAATTTGCAGATTGACAACCCCTTAGGAGAAAACCTACAGGGTCAGTCACTTGGTCTTTCATAGGGGATGTTTAGGGCAGTGAAATTTTCTGAAGATAGTTCAGTGATAAGAGACACAGGTTGCTAGAAATTTGTCTAGGAGATGTATAACATTGGCCGTAAGTGAGCCCTAATGCAAACTATGGGCTTTGTTTGACTATGAAGTCATTCCTCAGAACACACATACCACACAGGTTCGGGATCCTGATGGTGTGTGTGTGTGTGTATGGAGGAAGGAAAATTGCAGGAACTATCTATGCTTTCCACTCAGTTTTGCCATGAAACTAGAGCTGTGATGAGAAACACTCTATTGCTTTTCAAAATAAAACAAACTAAACATGACTCTACCACTTACTATAAACATTCTTATCTTTGTACAGTGGCTCTTTGCATATACACATGTATTTCCATATGGCTGTGATTACTAATGGATGACATTTGATCTTCCGTATTCTAATTCAGCACGGGGTAGCATTTCTTAGAAGAGGCGAAAGGTTCTAATTGCATAAGAATTTGTATACCTAAATTAGCTAATTTATGTATAAAATGTATTAGCTGCACAACCACAAAGGAAGCAGAAAGCTAACTTGTATGGACCAAACAATCACACGGCACTCTACTAAATGCTTTACATGGTTCACTTTATTTATTATCTATAACAATCATGTGAGATACATGCCATTACCTCTGCTTTGTAGAGAATCAGACTGCAATTTAAAGATAACTCAATTATCAAGTTAACCCACAGAGCATCATTGGACAAGCTTACATATTACCAGTACCATATCCAGCCTCAGTTTCCTTATGATTTGAAGGGTACCAGAACAATATTTATCAAGTACCTATTAGGAAATCTTGGTTTCATAAGAAGTTAAAGAAGAAGGAGGTGGGGGGACTAATGGATAGATGGCGAGCAGACACAGATTGGTAGATCATATATTTTTCTAGGTTATCTGAGAAGCTTTAGGTGAGAATTTTAAAGCTCCATTCTGCAGGAGACCTCAGGCCTTTATATCCTGATAATATCTTGGAGTTCCATCATGTCTTCTACTAGGGATAAGAACACTGCAACTAGTTCCATCAAATCCTGGGAATCTTGGCCTATATACAACATTATTCATAATTTATTCAGAAGACTTAGTACTTCATTTTTAGGATTTCCAGAATGCATTCTATGACAGAGTCTGTGAAGCATTCTAGTTTTATCTCATTATTTATTTTACCAAGGGAACAATACATCTTGGAGTTGAGCCATAAAATGACATAGAAGCATAGAACTGTAGCTTGGAAGAGATCACAGGACTCAGTAGGCCACCTCCTAGGCCCCAGGAAGAGCCACACCTAAGCCATTACAGGCAGATGGGTATCTAGCTTGTTGTAAAGACCTCCAGGGAGGAAAGTTCGGTAACCGATCCCAGATGCCCAGTTCCCCCCCAACAAAATGATGAATACCTTAAACTCATCTAGACTATTGTGTGTGTGCTATATGTGGTGGTGGGTTGCATGCAGGGAGTTAATAAGGTTGCTTGAGAAGCAGGATTAAGATCATCATTCTGTCTGTTTCCAGAGAGCACAGGAATTCAAAGTTGCATCTTGCAGGCATCTTTGGTGCCCCTTTCTACCTGGTCTCTCAGTTTCAATGAGAAGCTCAGGCTGGACTTCTCAGCATGGTCTCAATTCTCTCATCTCTTGTTCCTTCTGCCAAACACAGTTGAAGCACTTGTTTCTGTTAGCTTGGATTTCTTAAGGCTCCTTCTAATATCTCTGTCTTTGGGATCTTCTCTTTCTATATTATTTTTATCCCAGTATGACCAAAATACCCAATGGAAAAAGAAATCATAGAAGAAAGGCTTATTTTGGCTCATAGTGTGGGAGGAATTTCAGTCCACAATGGCAAGGCAGGCTTGTGTAGCTGGTCACACTGTCTGCTCAGGAAGCAGAGATGGCTGGATCCATAGGCAGGTATAAACTTCATAGTCCCTCTCTTAGTGACCTATCCTCTAGCCAGGCGTCACCTCCCAAAGGTTCCAAAGATACCAACACATCTTTAAACTGAGGTTTGAACATTCAAAATACAAGCCTTTTGGGATAACTCATATTCTAACTATAGCATCTCCACAGTGCCGAAACATGTCTTGTTAATGCCATGTCTAACATATTGCTTTGCTAACAATATAAATGTGAATCTAGCTATCAATCAAGCTATGTATCATGTAGCCATCTATGTATCTATCTATTGTCTATCTATCAAGCTTCTATGTCTCTACCATATATCTATCATCTATATCTGTCTATCTATCTATCTATCTATCTATCTATCTATCTATCTATCTATCTATCTATCTATCTATCAATCATCTATTATTCATCTATCTACCTATCTACCTACTATCTATCAAGCCTATTTAGCTCCTTGTGGTTTGGCCTCAACTATCCTTCTCAGTCATATTTCTAGATGTTTTTCCACCACACATTCAATGAACCACTCATAGTGAATACAATTCATTACCTTATGGATTTTCCAGCTTTTGTGACATTTGTTCATTCTCTCTGCCCAAGATTCTTTTTCCCACCTTCTTTGTGGTGTTCTTGCTCATCTTGCTCATTTCTCTATGAAATATGCCTCATTATTTTCTCACCTCCCTTGCTTTCTAAAACCTTTGACACACGTCACTTAGGAGGCAGTAACACAAAATGTAGTCGATATTCAACCAATGGGTATTATGATTTTGATACATACAATCAAGAAGTTAAGTAGAGTGAATGGAGAGGTGGTCTAAACCGGCTCTCTGACCAGAACAGAAAAGTCCATAGAGGTAGTAGGAAGAGTAAATGGTAGCTATGAGG